AATCTTCTAATAAAAGATTTCTGATGCTCTTGGAGGGCCAGCTGTGCTCCAGGGGTACGGGGGACCAGTGGAGTGCTGGGGACAGGGACAGTACCGGCTGTGGCTTCCACCTGTTCCCGGAGATACCATTCCATCAAAGAACTTCCAGATCCTCCCCAGGCATGGTGACCCACACCTGCCATCCCAGCACTCTGGGAGGCCCAGGCAGGAAGATGGAAGTTTTATTTTATTTTATTTTTTGGTACTGGGGATCGAACTTAGGACCTTGCACTTGTGAGGCAGGCGGCTGCACCACTGAGCTAAATCCCTGGCCCTGGAGGATGGAAGTCTGAGTCTAGCCTGGGCGATTTACCCAGACCCTGTCTCAAAAAATTAAAAAGGCTGAAAATGTAGCTCAGTGCTCAGGTGCTAGGTTCAGTGCTGAGTGCTGTGTTACAAAAAAAGCCCTAGATTCTTGGTCCCCCTGACCCCAGCACCCGCATCATGCTCTGGGGTCCCGTCGCCTCTGGTCCTGAAAATGGCCCTGCCCTTGGGAACTGGAAGCGTGTGCATGCACAGCCTGGTCAAGACGGTACCCTCTGCTTAGCAACTTCCCAGGGTGAGCCTGGTGCCCTGACTCAGGCCTGTACTTCCCTCCATTCAGGAGGCTGAGGCAGGAGGATCAAAAGTTCAAGGCCAACTTGGGCAATTTAGCAAGATACTCTCTCAAAAGGATCTGGAGGTGGTGGTGCACTCCTGTAAAACCAGTGCTCTGGAGGCTGAGGCAGGAGGACCAACAAAAGTTAAAGACCAGCCTGAACACAGCAAGACCCTAACTCAATTTTTTAAAAAAAATTAAAAGGGCTGGGGTTGTAGCTGTGTGGTGGGACACCTGCCGAAGTTGCTGAAGGCCCTGGGCTCCATCCCCTCCACTGCAAATGAGTCAATAACAGATCAGTAAGCCCAAGACACAAAATACCCACAGTGCAGCGGGCACTTCCGCCAGTCCCTGCCTGAGGACACCCCCAGGAAGCTGCACCCCTCTGTGGCCACAGCTCAGTGCCAGTGCTCCTGACTGAAGTTCTGCCTCTGTTTCTGAGTGCCATTCATGTCTCCCCAGCCAGCCTGCCTCACCTGGCCTGTCCATCATCACTTCCTCTATTCTGTAGGTGCCACCAGGGCACCCTTGTTCCTGCCATGTCCACCACAGGGAAGAATCCTCACCCAGCAGACTGGCCAGAGACCTTTGCCAAAGCAAGGATGGAGGCAGAGACCGCCAGGATGCTTTGTGCTCATGGCACCACTAGGGGATAACAGCAAACTGAAAATGGGGTGAAGTCCTCTAGGTGCTGCGTGGCAGGTGGAAGGGGTTGTTTTGTTTTGTTTTTTTGAGCCATTGTCCCCTGGACATCCATGTGCCTCCCTCCTCAGGCCACAAAGATGGTCTTATGTGGGCATCTTAGCACATGCCTATACTCTCAGCTACTCCAGATGCTGAGGGAGGATTATTCCAAGTTGCAGAACAGCTTGGGCAACTGAGTGAAACCTTGTCTCAAAATTAAAAGGAGTGGGAGTGTAGCTCAGTGATAGAGTACCCATGGGTGCAATCACCTGTCTAAAAAAGAAAAAAAATTTCTTGGCACTCAGGAGGCTGAGGCAGGAGGATCACCATGAGTTCAAGGCCAGCCTGAGCTACATAGTGAGACCCTGTCTCAAAACAAACTGCACAAAACAGATCTATATGTAGTGGAAAGGAAGTATAACCAAGAAATATTATTAAATGAACAAAATTGTGCTTCTTCCACCCCAGGCTCCATTCTAAGCTATTCTTTTCTTTTTTTTTTTTTTGTAGTACTGGGGATTAAACCCATGGCTTTCACAATGATTTACACCTCAACCTGCCTCTCTCTCTGTCTCTCTCTGTCTTTCTATCTCTGTCTCTCCGTCCTTCTCTCATTTTTGGAGACAAGTCTCCAAAAAGAAGTTAAATTCCCCAGCCTGAGTTCAAACTTGTGATCCTCCTACCTCAGCCTACTAGAGGCTAGAGAGCCATGTGCCTCCATACCTGGCTTCTGGTTTCTGTTTTGTTTTATTTATTTATTTATTTATTTATTTTTGGTACCGGGGATTGAGCTCGGGTCCTTGTGCTTGCGCAGCAGGCGGCGAAACCACTGAGCTAAATCCCCGGCCCTTCTGTTTTATTTTTTAAATTAAATTAACTGATTTTTCATTCTGCACTCTTTAAGTGTCTTAACTCCTCTGATGCTTGAGACACCTCTGATTTTGGTCTCTGAACAGCCCTGTTTTATAGAGAAAGAGAACCAGGTGTAGCATGGTTCAGGGCCTGCCTGGGGTCTCTGGACAGAGCTGGGATTTGAACTGGGGCATCCAGCCCCTGCCTGGGTGGTTGCCGCTGTTTCCTCTCTGTGGGTGCTGTTGTGTTTCCCAGAGAGGCCGGCAGGGGGCAGGCCCTTCCTGGAGAGAGTCCCAGCAAGTTCCCCCACTTTACCTCTCTTGGGGATGGGGCTGCCTGTTCCCTGACCCCTGCCACTCAAAGGGACACAAAGGATTTGGCTTTTAGTCTTTAATTAGCCCACTTGCTTTTCCCAGGTATGGTGGGAACTGGGGAGTCCCTGCCCGAAGGGCCAGCGGGCTCAGGGGAACCCCCAGCTCAGATGTCTCCCTGGAAAGTGGCCACTGGCCGGCTTCATCAGGACTGTCCCCATTTGTACATGGAAAGTCCCTTGCTGGGGAAGTCCCTCACCTGGGCAAACCCTGGTCACTTACAGGTCTGGTGTCTGGGAAGCTCTGAAATGTTCTAGAAGGACAAAAGCCTTGTAGACAGAACATGAGTCTTGCCAGTGACCCCACAGCTCTCTGCTTCACTGTTAAGTAGGGGTGTGGGTCCCACTTTGAAATTGCGGGGGGGTGGGGAGGTGTGCATGCCTGTGATCTCAGCGCTTGGGAGGCTGAGGCAGCAGGATCACGGCAAGTTCCAGGCCACCCTGGGCCACATAGCAAGAACTTGTCTCAAAAAAACAAACAAACAAAAAGAACCTGAGGGAGCTGAGCTGAGAAAATGCTAAATATCTACCCCTTGGCCCTGCCTCCTGGCTAGGAACTGTTGTTTATTATTGTTCCTGGGGTTATTGCCATCCTTGTTATTACAATCACCTCATCAGACATTTCCTGCCACTTCCTTTTGGGGTGGCAAATCCCAGGTCTCCTAAACACTGATAGTCCAAAGTCCAAAACCCACAAGCGGCCTCACTATGGAAGAATCTGGCACCTTCAGTTTCCTGTCCCTGGACTTCTGCTGGCAGAGGCAAAAACAGAAGAGGAAGCTGAGGCAGGAAGCCCACAACCAGACCTGCAGTCCTAGGACAGCAGCCTCCTGGTTCCCAGGCTCTCCGCCCAGACCCTTCCCTGTACCCAGAATGGCTTCATTAGGGGGACTGGGGGAACCAGGCAGGCCCTCCCTCAGACTCCAGTGGCGCTGACATCATTGGGCCAGAGGTCAGGCACTGGGACTAATGCTCAGAGAAACTTCCTGTGAAGTGGTTAGGCTAGGATTAGGGCTGGAAGCAAAACCCAGCGAGCAAAAGGGGCAAGAAGATAGATTTGCTGACTCAAAGTGTAATGCTGAAAGTGGTAGAGAGGTTTATTTCTTTTGGCCTGAAAGATTGGTTTATCATTTCAAAACATTTTAAAAATGTTTTTAAATTTTTGTTGCTGGGAATTTAAACCAGGCAAGTACTCTGTTACTGAACTACATCTACAGCTCTTTTTTTGTTTTTTGTTTTTGTTTTGGTACTGGGGATCGAACTCAGGACCTTGTACTTGCGAGGCAGGTGCCAGAACCACTGAGCTAAATCCCCGGCCACCCCTCTTTTGATTTTTGATAGGGTCATATTTAGCTTTGGCAGGCTCACTTTGAACTTATTTGTTTGGGTTTTTTTGGTAGTGGAGATTGAACTCAGGACCTTGTGCTTGCGAGACAGACGTGGAGCCACTGAGCTAAATCCTGGCCCTTGTTTGTTTGAGACAGGGTTTCCCTATGTAGTCCAGGCTACCCTCAAATTTTTGGAGATCCTCCTGCCTCAGCCTCCTGAATAATTGAGTATACAGGCAAGCACCAAGGGATTCTTGCTAAGAGCAAGCCTGGGATTTGCACATCAGAGGTGAGGGTTGAAGGACTGGGTCATACAGCAAGGGACGGTGATGATTTAGGATTCTTGGCTACGACGGTGCTGGGCAGGCCAAAAACAGGACCAAGGGGGAAAATCGAGGTCTATTTGGGAAGAGGGCTCCGAGGACCGACATTTAACTGAAGTTTGATGAAGCAGAGAGTTTTTAATTACTTGTCTGTGCCTCAGTTTCTTCACCTGAGTAATGGAGCTGAGTAGAGCCCCGCACAGACGGCTGATTGCAGAACCCACAGAGACAGTGCATGTAAAAAGCCTTCTTGGAAAATGGCAAAGGCCTGTGAAAGAAAGCTTACAGCTAAGATCGGGTGGAATTGCCAAAGTGCTGCCCTGTCCGCTAGAGGGCGTCAGAGGACTGGGCTGCAGGTGATCAAGAAGGGGAGGGGAGCAGATGGACCACAAATACCTCCCGGAAAGAGGGGGACCAGCCAGCGAAGTGGTGGGCTGGCGAGGCAGATAAGAGAAAAGAAGTGGGAAAGGACGTAATGGGAGTCACATGACTGGGGGTTGGAAGGTTGGATGGCGGCTGGCTGCAGCCTTGAACCCCAAGGCGAGTCCAGGAACCTGCGCCCCAAAATTTGATCGCCTAACCTAGCTCGAGCTCCACTGCACTACCTACCGACTAAACTCTTCCGCCTGCTTCTGCGCGGCGCCCTCTACCGTGTCTCCGCCCACCCCGCAGTAGCCAATCACACACAAGGTAGTATATCCGGGTTCCAACCTAACCAATAGTGGCTAGGTCACGAGTGAGGCTTAGGGCCAATCGGAGAGGCTCCTTTCCGTTAGACACCCAATGGTTACGTCCGGCTGGGACAGGACTGCAGCCAGCGGGCATGCGCACTTTAGGCGGCCAGGGAGAAGTGTAGTTTCCGCGGCGAGCTGGCAGCGGCTCCCCGAGGCTGTGGGGCGGGTTCGCGGGTTCGAGCCTGTGTCTGCTGGGAAGGGTGAGTTTGAAGGGGAACAGCGAAAGGGCGAGCCCAGGAAGTTATGAAAAAAAGGGGATGCGCCCGGCGGGTCATGAAGAAGGAGGGTGGGGGGCTGGATGTGGTTGGCACGGGGTGGACGGGAGCAGGCGCTGCCTCTGGGCTGGACGGATGTCCGGCGGATGCACAGCGCAATTAGTGCCGAGGTAGGTTTTGGGGAGTGAAGGAGGTGCAGCCCTCACCTCGATTCCATCTTCAAAGCTGGGCCTAAGTCCAGTGGAGATGAGGAAGGAGGAAGTGGGATTCCCAGAAGCCCCAACCAGAGGATGTCATCCCAAACATGAGTGGATAATGAATAGCAAGCGTTTCTTGACGCTTATGCTGTGCCAGACAGTGGGCTAAGCACCATCTCTACCTTCTTTGTTTTCTTTGTCTTTTGAGACGGTCTCACTATGCAGTTTAGGCTGGCCTTGAACTTGCGGTGATCCTCCTGCCTCAGCTTCCTGAGTGCTGGGATGACAGGGGTGCACCCCCACAGCTGCCCTTCTGTCTCATTTCACTGAATCTTCCCTTTGAGGACCAGCCCGAGGAGGAATCGGACAGTGTGGGCTCCCCACATCCTGCCCTTTCTGTTGCTTTTGTCTTAGTAACATCCGTTCAGTCGATGACTGCCCCTGCATGAGGACCCTGGAGACCTGGGCCCTGGACTGGGGGACTGAGCTGGGACACAAACTTCCTGGGCTCTGGAGAATCAGTAGGGATGGGCCTGTCCTGGTACAGATGTGGAGGACAGGAATAGTGGGCTAAAAGAGTTAAGAGATTTTGATGCTGGAGACAGTCCTAATCACTTTGTTTATTCATTGTGCAGTGCTGGAGATCAAACTTGGGGCCTTGCACGAGCCAGACGGGGACTGACCACAGGCACACCCCAGCTCCTCCAAAGATGACTTTTTCCTTGGGGTCATGTTTGTGATTTTTCTCGCCTGTTTCAAGGTCTGTGCAGAAAGGGTAAGATGCAGAACCTTGTGGAAACCTCCTCACTATCAGCTTCTGATGGCAACATTCCCCTTACCTGCATTTTCCAAATGGAGAAACTGACGCTGAAAGTGGCTAAGTGAACTGTGTGAGTTGACACAGGAAGCTCCAGGACGGACCCCCAGGTCTGTTTGTCCCCACCTGCCTGCATGGCTCTTTTGGGGAGGGTGGTTCAGGGTGGATTTCTTTTCTTTTCTTATTAATTGATTGATCTGTGGTATTGGGGATTGAAACGAGGCCCTTGGCACTGAACTACATCCCCAGACCTTTTTATTTTTTTGAGTCAAGGTCTTGCTATGTAGTCCACACTGGCCTTGAACTCTATGTAGCCCAGGCTGGCCTCAAATTTGTGACTATCTTCCTGCCTTAGCCTCCCAAGTGCTGGGATGACAGATGTGCACACTATGACCAGCTGGAAAGGGTCTTGCTAAGTTACTGAGTTACACAGGCTGGGCTCAGATTTGGGATCCTCCTGTCTCACCCTTCCAGAGTGCTGGGATTACAGGCATGTGCCACCACACTTGGTGAGAATTAGTATATCAGGCTGGGGGGTAGCCCAGTGCTATCAAACAAATGTGGAAACTGAAGTTCAAGGAAAGAATCATATGCCTAAGGTGGTACAGCCAGGAATCCCGAGACTTCCCTGGGGGCAAGGCCGAGGCGCTCACGGCTGTCCTTCTGCAGGATGCCCCTGTGTCATCGAGGAGGCTCTGAGAAGGGCAGCCAGCCTGCCAGGGATGAAGTGCAGCCCTTGGCCACCACGGGAGGCCTGCAGGTCCTTCTGCACTGGGCTGGCTCCAGTGGTGGGCAGCCCTGGGTCACCTTCGGTGAGGTCTCGCTGACGGCTGAGGAGATCTGCATCCGGGTCGCACACAGAATCGGTGAGTGTGGGCCAGGATGCAGCTGGGGGTGGCCTTTTTCCAGTCATGGGGACAGGAGGGGCTTCACTCACAAACCACAGCTCGGGTGATGGGACACCCGCCCAGCGCAAAAGAGAGCACAATTCAGAGCCCTGGAGAGCTTGACATGTTTTGTTTGAGGAAGCACAAGGTCTTCAGGGTGACTGCAGTATCCATTTTGAAAATTTAGAAGCAGAAGTAAGAATTGAAACCAGAGTATAGCAAGGAGAAGCCAGGTCATGGTTACTCATTGGTGAAGGCTCGGAGTTTCTGAGGGGGTAGAAGGGAGCCATGGGGGGTTAAGCCAGAGAGCAAAGCTGTCTGACCAGTGCTTTGAAATGCTGTCTCCCAAGGGAGTGGAGTCCTCTTCTCTCAGAAAGGCAATACACTTAGATGCGGTAACTTGAGAGAATAATTTAGCAACATCAGAACCATGGAAACAGCCTCTCCCCAAAGCCACAGAGTGCTGCTCCTGGATATCCTCCCTTCGGACACTGTTCACAGCTTCCAGGAGGCATGTGAGAGAATGTTCACACATTCCGCCGCCTTCTTCTTTTTTCTTCTTTTCTATTTTTTTTTCCAGTACGGGGTATTGGACCCAGGGCCTTCATACTCAGCTACAGCCCTAGCCCTTTTTTATTTTTTATGAGACAGAGTACCACTAACTTGCTAAGTTGCCTCGGTGAGTTTCAAACTTGTGATCACCCTACCTCAGCCTCTCAGAGTGCTGGGATTACAGGTATGTGCCATCACACCCATATTCGTGGCTCATTTCTTGCAGGGAAAAATGGGAGACCATCACAAAATCCCTTAACAAGAGAGTGTAACAGTAAATTGAAGTATACATTAATGCTGGAATACCATGCAGCCAGGAAAAGGGACTTTAGCCAAAGTTAATGGATCATCCTATAGGAAGCGTCTAAAAAATAATTAATGTACATTATTTAAGATTTTCATCTGAAGTCAAGCATGGTGGTGCATACCTGTAATCTCAGCTACTAGGAAGGCTAAGAAAGGAGGATTGTAAGTTCAAGGCTAGCCTAGGCAATTCAAGCCTTCAACACACATGCTATTGAGAGACATTTTAGATCTAAAATATGTGATCAAGATATGCTCTCTCCATATACCAGTCCCCCCAAAATCATGTAACCATTATGTATTACAAAATATTCACTACTTTTTAAAAATCCAAACTATAAGGGCCAGGGATTTAGCTCAGTGGTTTCGCTGCCTGCTATGCAAGCGCAAAGACCTGAGTTTGATCCCCGGTACCAAAAAAAAAGAGAGAGATTTAAAATCCAAACTATAGGAAAAGTGGATGGATCCTAAAGAGATGGAGAGTGTAAAAAGAGTAGTAATAGTGACTTTTACATATTTAACAGAAAAATTGTTAGCAGTTTCTAGAATTCTGTGAGTTTCAGGATATGTTTTGCTGCTGTAATAAGCACCCCTTAGATCTTCTTGGCTTAAAACAGTCAAGTTTAACTAAAATCACTGCAGTTTGGATGGTTCACCTCCATTGTATAGTTTTTTTGTTTGGTTGGTTGGTTTTTTGGTATCAGGGATCAAACTCAGGACCTTGTGGTTGCCAGGCAGGTGTAGCACCACTGAGCTAAATCCCTGGTCCTCCATTGTATAGTTTTGCCACTTGGCACAAGGTGTAGTCATCTTCCCTGGGGCAGGGGAAGATGGCAGGAGGCTGATTTCCAGGCTCAGAAATGTGCCCATTCTATTGGCCCACATCCTATTGTCCTCAGTCACTGCAAGGGATGCTGGGAAATGTAGTTCAACTGTTATGGCACCCACCCTTCTGTACTTCATCATCCTCTGCCTATGTGCAATATGGAACAAACTGTAGGCAGGGGAGGAAGCCCAGGAAGGGTGTGTGAAGGGAACCAGTGGTCTGGGTGTCTGTAGGGCTGATGCCAGTAGATAATGTGGTTTCTGACTTTCTTGCTCCCCAATTCCAGGCATCACACCAGCCTGCTTTAATCTCTTTGCTCTCTTTGATGCTGAGGCCCAAGTGTGGCTGCCCCCAAACCACATTCTGGAAGTTTCTGCAGACACAAGACAGACGCTGTATTTCCGCATGAGGTGAGAGAAGGCCCCTTGGAAGGGTTGCCTCTTTTCTCCTTTCATTATTATTTTCTTTTGAGACAGGGTCTTGCTATAGGTCAGGCTGGCCTTAAACTTGCTATGTATACCAAGCTGGCCTTGAACTTCCAGGGATCCTCCTGCTTCAGGCTCCTGAGGGCTGGGATTATAGCTGTGTGCCACCACACTTGGCTTCACCTTTTAATTTATTATTTTTCCAGACCTGGGGATGGAACCTAAGTCCTCATAGATGCTAGCTGAATGCTCAATCACTGAGCCACACCCCAGTTCCAGTGTCCCCTTTTCTGCTGGAGTTGCACTGAGCCTGTGCTAAGTCCCTCCCATGTCTCTTCGTGTCCTGCAGGTTTTACTTCCGGAACTGGCATGGCATGAATCCGCAGGAGCCACCTGTGTACCGCTGTGGACTCCCAGGGGCTGAGGCATCCTCAGAACAAGCAGAACAAGGGGTACAAGTCTTAGATCCAGCCTCTTTTGAGTACCTCTTTGAGCAGGTATGAGCTGAGCTGGGGACGTAGGACTCTTTCTGAGTAGACTCAGGGACAGTTGAGGAGCCCCCAGTTTCCTCACCAGTTCAATGTAGCTAATACCTTCAACTCGTGTCATCTGGGATCTTTTGGTTTAACTGGTTGAATGAGTTCAGGGAATGATTAATGATGTCTGCCACAAGCACAGCAGATATGTGTGCTGTTTTTTGGGCCTTTTCAGAAGACAGTGGTCTCTCTGTCCCCAAAGTGCCTGAAAATAGGGAACTACAGTTCTCTGGCCAGCAAGTGAAAGCATTGTCACATTTCTCTTTGTGCCTGATTGTTTCAACCCTAGGGCAAGTATGAGTTTGTGAATGATGTGGTGTCGCTGCGGGAGCTGTCAAGTGAGGAGGAGATCCACCACTTTAAGAATGAGAGTCTAGGCATGGCCTTTCTGCACCTCTGCCACCTCGCTCTCTGCCGCAGTGTCCCCCTGGAGGAGGTGGCCAAGGAGATCAGGTGCCTGGGAATGGAATGGGGACACTGCCTTGTATATTGCCTTGCTATCATTCTTTTATTCAGCAGGCACTTACTGAGTACCTACTGTGTACTAACACTTGTTCAAGTCGAGGTGTTGTGTTTTTTCTTGGTTTCAGGGATTGAACTCAGGACATTGTGCTTGCGAGGCAGGTGTGCTGCCACTGAGCTAAATCCCTAGCCCCTGTTCAAGGTGTTGTTGAAGCAAAAATGAATACATCAGACAAAAAAAAACCCCGCTGTTGGGGAACTCCCATTTCATGAAATAGGCAACAAGTGAAACCTAACAGTGAAATGTGCTGAACATGGTGATCTATAACAGTAATCACAGCACTCTAGGAGGCTGAGGCAGAAGGATTGCAAGGTTGAGCCCAGCCTGGGCAACTAGGTGAGACATACTCTCAAAATAAAATCTAAAAAAAGGGCTAAGGTTGTATCTCATTGTGAAGACCCTGTGTTTAATCCCAGTACCATAAACACACAAAGTGCAGTGTACATCATTTGAGATGGTGATACATGCAGTGTGGAAAAATTAAGAAAGGTGCATGAACAGTATCAGTGTAAGAAGTCAACAACTGTATTTTAAAATTTTGTTTATGTGTTTATTTGTGGCATGAGGGATCCATCCCTGCCAGGCAAGAGCTGTACCACAGAGCTACACCCAAGGCCTTTTTATTTTATTTATTTATTTATTTGGTACCGGGGATCGAACTTGGGACCTTGTGCTTGTGAGGCAGGCAGCGGAACCACTGAGCTAAATCCCTGGCCCAAGACCTTTTGGTTTTTTAAATTTTTTAAATTTTTTTATTTTTTGGTACCGGGGATCGAACTCGGGTCTTTGCACTTGCACAGCAGGCGGCAAAACCATGGGCCTTTTGTTTGTTTGTTTTGTTTTTTTGGTACTGGGCATCAAACTCAGGTCCTTGCGCTTGCACAGCAGACAGTGAAACCACTGAGCCAAATTCCCAGCCCAATACTTTTTTTTTTTTTTGGTACCGGTAATCGAACTGGGGATCTCGCACCTGCGAGGCGGGCTGCAGAACTACTGAGCTAAATCCCTGGCCGTTATGGGCCTTTTTATTTCTAACATTATTTTGTTTTTGTTTTTGTTTTAGAATGGGTCTTTATGCAGTTCAGGCTGGCTTCAAGGTCATATCAATCCTCCTGCCTCAGCCCCCAGTGGCTGGGATTACATATGTGCACCACCATGCCTGGCTCTAATAAATACTTTTTTTAAAGTAAAATTAGGCAAAAAAAAAAAAAAAAGGTAAAATTAGGCCAGCCAGGGATTTAGCTCAGTGGCACTGTACCTGCCTCGAAAGCGCAAGGTCCTGAGTTTGATCCCTGGTAACAAAAATAAATAAAGTAAAATAAAATTAGGCCAGATGTGGTGGCACACACCTGTAATTCCAGCACTTAGAAGGGTGAAGCAGGAGGATTGCCTTGAGTTCAAGGCCAGCCTGCACTACAAAGCGAGACCCCGTCTCAAAAGACAAAAAAAAAAAAAATTATATATTTTGTTGGACTAGGGATGGCACCCATGGTCTTTGCACAGAGCTACAACCCATGTGCTTTTTTAATTTTTAATTTTGCAACAAGCTATTGCTAAGTCACTAAGTTTTCCAGGCTGGCCTTCAATTTGTGATCCTCTTGCCTTAGCCTCCCAAGGAGTGCAGGGATTACAGGTGTGTGCCACTATCCTGGGCTTCAGCCCTTTTGAATTTTATTAATTTTATTTTTCCTTTTGTATTTTATTGTGAGATAGCATCTCACTAAGTTGCCCATGATGGGCTGGAATTTGGGATCTTCCTGCCTCAGCCTCCTGAGTTGCTAGGATTCCAGGTGTGCACCACCTTGTCAGCCCTATATCTTTGTTTCCCTCCTTCATGACAGTATACATATTTGCTAAATGAGGCAGCTGAGGCAGAGAGAGGTCAAGCCATTGGAGATATCACCTAGGCTGGCCCCATTGAGACCCTTGACTGGTACCCTGTGTCCCCCGCCAGCTTCACGCGCTGCATCCCGCGCTCCTTCCGGCAGCAGATCCGCCAGTACAATATGCTGACCCGGCTGCGCCTTCGGAGTGTCTTCCGACGCTTCCTGCATGCCTTCCAGCCAAACCACCTGTCCCAGCAGGTTGTCATGGTCAAGTACCTTGCCACCCTGGAGCATCTGGCACCCCGCTTTGGTGCCGAATGCATCCCTGTGCATCACCTGGAGCTCCTATTCCAGGCCGACAGGGAGCCCTGCTATATCCGGGACAGTGGGCAGCCCCCAGAAGCTGACCCCATGTCGGCCCCTGGACCCCCCACCCATGAGGTGCTGGTCACGGGTACCAGGGGCATCCAGTGGCGCCCGGTACAGCCAGAGGTGAGCAGGGCGCCTCTTCTGGGGGTCCTTGGCCTGGAGTCCTGAAGGGTGTGGTGAGACTTTTAACCATCTCCCTCTGGTGTGGGTTCTCCTGGGTTCATTTCTTAAGAGTGTGTCTCTGTATACCTGATTTCTGCGATCTGCAGCTCTGGGGATGTGGCAGTTGGAAGTGGTTGGGCTCAGAGTCTCCTCTCTGCCTCCCCAAGCTCTAGCTTCTGGCATCTGTATCCATTCATTCATTCATTCATTCACTGATTGATTCATTCATTTATAATACTGGGGATTAAACCCAAGGCTTTTCCACTGAGCTACATCCCAGCCTTTTAAAAAATTTTCTATTGAGACAGGGTCTCGTTAAATCATTAAGTTGCCCAGGCTGGGCTTGAACATGTGATCTTCCTACTTCAGCCTCCCAGAGTGATAGGATTCTAAGCATGCACCACCACGCCTCTCTGACTCCTGTCTGTGCCCTGTGGAAAGCAGAGGGGACTACACAGTCCTTGTCTCTCTCTGTCCCCTGCCTGCCCTGCTGGCTTTTTAGAGTTCCAGTGCCAATGGCAGTGACAGCTGGAATCCGAAAGCCAGGCTGCCTGGGAAAAAGGCCAGTGCCCATGAGGAGGCAGGCAAGCAGCCAGTGGACAAGCCACAGGAGCCCTCTTGGACCTACTTCTGTGACTTCCAGGACATCACCCATGTGGTCCTGAAGGAATGTCGCATCAGCATCCACCGGCAGGACAATAAGTGCCTGGTATGGCCAAGGGCTGGGCCGGGCTGGGGAACCCTGGCCTGTGACACCCAGCTGACAACCCCTGCCTGTAGGAGCTGAGCCTGTCCTCCCCGGCTGCTGCCCTGTCCTTTGCGGCGCTGGTGGACGGCTACTTCCGCCTGACTACCGACTCCAGCCACTACCTGTGCCATGAGGTGGCTCCTCCGAGGCTGGTCCTGAGCATCCAGGACGGCATCCACGGACCCCTGCTGTGAGCGGCCAAGGCGGGAGGGCAGGGGATATGCAGCCCCTGCCATGGGCACCAAAGGGACCAAGACTGAAGCCCTCTGTGTGTCTTCTCTGTGTACGTGTGCTTTTTTTGTTTGTATCTTTGGAGCTTTTTGTTTGTTTGTTTGTTTGTGTTTTGAGACAGGGTCTGTGTCAGTTCCTAGAGGCAGATGGGTAAAATCCAGGCTGTGATTGAATTCACTGTGTAGCTTAGGTTGGCCTCAAACTCAGTGATCCTCCTGCCTCAGCCTCCTGAGTACTAGGATGACAGGTGTGAACCACCACTCCCAGCTCACAGTTTTGGAGATTTTGGTCTGCAGTCAGTGGTCCTGTGCCTTTGGGCCTGTGGGTGTGGCCAAGCAAAACTTCACCCCTTGAAGAACCTGGGATCCACAGTCCCCTCCAAGGCTGTACCTCAGTGGCCTAAAAACCTCTCAAAGGCTCCACGTCTCAAAGTTTTCATCACCTTCCAACAGCACCAAGCTGTGCACCAAGCCTGCAATACATGGGCCTGGCCTGGTGTGGGGCCACACTCTTATTATCCCAGCACTCTGGGAGGCTGAGGCAGGAAGATCGCAAGTTCAAGCCCAGTCTGGGCAACTTAGTGACTTAGTGGAACCCTATCTCAAAAAATGCAAAAAGGGCTGGGGACATTGCTCTGTGCAGAGGCCCTGGGTTCATCTGACAACGAAAAACTGACAAACATGATGTCTGTGTTGCTCTGTGGGTCCTTTGGATATGTCTGTGAGCACTGTCCTTTGGGTGTGTGATGAAGTGGCCATGTGTCACCCTGCGTGTGCCTGTGGCCAGGTTGCGCCCATCCAGCATGGGTGGCTATTTCCTTCTGGTGTGTGTCACCGTGTTGGTGGCTGCATCTGATGTCCCCGGGTGTGACTTTTCCCAGCTGTTTTGTGTGCCACTGGGCAGTCTTGGGTCACCCTTGCCAGGTATGGGTCTGACAGTGGTCCCAGGTGGCCTGAGGGTACCCCGGTCAACTCCCAGGGAGCCGTTTGTGCGGGCCAAGCTGCAGCTGGAAGAGGGCGTCTACCTCATCCACTGGAGCACCAGCCACCTTGAGCGCCTCATCCTCACGGTGGGCCAGCGTGACCCGGTGCGCCTGAGGCTGGGTTTGTGGGTTGGGGCCGGGCTCACTTCCTGCCCTGACCCAGCTCACTGCCCCTTCTGCCCACCCAGACCCCTGGCGGCAGTGGTGTGCAGAGTGTGCGCCTCCGCAAGTTCCCCATTGAGCGGCAAGCCGGGGGCTTTGTGCTGGAGGGCTGGGGCCGCTCCTTCGCCAGCGTGCGGGACCTGCGGATGGCCCTGCAGGGCTGCTCTCTGCGGGCTGGGGACGACTGCTTCTCCCTGCGCCAGTGCTGCCTGCCCCAGCCAGGAGGTATGAGGAGTGATGGTGCTGGTGTGGGGATGGCATCCTTGTCCCGCATGGCAGCCGGCTCAGCCACTTGGTTTCGGTTTCTGTCCCCAGAGATCTCCAACCTCATCATCATTCGGGGGCCTCGGGCCAGCACCCGGCAGCTCAACCTCAGCCAGCTCAGCTTCCACAGGGTACAGCAGGATGACATCACCCAGGTGGGCAGGTGTCGGCAGGGGACAGGGTGGGGGCACAGAGCTTAGGACTCCTGGGGACATGGTGGTTGGGGCTCAGCTGGCATCACAGTCATATTCTTTTTTTTATTTGGCTTTTTGAGACATGGTCTCCTTATGTAGCCCAGGCTGGCCTTGAACCTGCAGGGATCCTCCTGCCTCAGCTTCCTGAGTGCTGGGATTATGTGCGCCACCACACCTGGTGTCACTCACAGGGGAGTTCTGTGCCATTGCCTGCAGCTGTCACACTTGGGCCAGGGCACAAGGACCAACGTGTATGAGGGTCTGCTGCGAGTGGGGACGCCCGAGGAGGACAAAGAGGACAGCATGGGCCCTGTGGAGCCCAGTGGGGGCTGTGGGCAGGAGCTGCGTGTGGTGCTGAAGGTGCTGGACCCAGGTCACCACGACATCACGCTGGTGTGTGTCTAGGGGACCCTCAGGGGTGTGGTGGGGGGAGGGGGCAAGGGGAGGGGCGCAGCCGGCTGAGCTACTGTCCCCACAGGCCTTCTACGAGACAGCCAGCCTCATGAGCCAGGTGTCCCATGCACACCTGGCCTTCCTGCATGGCGTATGCGTGCGCGGCTCCGAGAGTGAGTGCCTGCCACCCTGGACTTCACCCGCTCCCTGGGCTGCACCCAGACCCCTGACTACAGGCTTAAATCCAGTCACTGACTGCTCCTCAACCCTCCCTCGCTCTTTCTCCTGATCCTGGGCTGTACCTTTGTACCTTTTTTTTTTTGGTACTGGGGATTGAACCCAGGGCCTTTGCACAGAGCTACATCTTCAGCCTTTTTATTTTTATTTTGAGACAGGGTCTGGCTAAGTTGCTAAGTTGCCCAAGCTGGGCTCAAACTTGTGGTCTTCCTGCCTCTGCCTCCCAGACTGCAGGGATTACAGGTGTGCCCACCATCTGGCTCCAGGCTGTACAGACCTTCACCCTGTCCTCCCAATAGATGCCAAGCCCCCACTTCTTGCCCCACCTTCCCCTTGGACCCTCACCTGCACCCTGACCTCAGTCTGCCCCCGATTCCCAGTTGTGTCTGTCCTAGTCTCCCACCAGCTCTTCCTACACCCTGCCCCCACCGACAGTCCGACCATCAGTGCCGTGGCCCCAGCAGACCTCAACCCAGTGTCCTCCGATCCTCCCACACCTCTGCTTCTGAGCCACATGCCACCCCTGTCCCTCCTCTGCATGCTCCTCAAGGCCCCATGTGCCAGGCATGGTGGCGCAGGCCTGCAGTCCAGCACTGTGGGAGGCTGAGGCAGGATCATAAGTTCAAGCCTGGGTAAATTAGTGACTTAGTAGATTCTGTCTCAAAATTAAAATTAAAAAATTAAAATAAAAAAGGGCTGGGGATGCAGCTCAGTGCAAAGGCCCTGGGTTCAATCCTCAGTATTGCAAAAAAAGAAAAAAAATAGTGCACATAAGGGCGACCCATCCCCCATGCCATGGCCCCAGATATGTGTCCTGTGGCCTTGCTGTCCCCCAGGAGAATGGCCACACCCACTCTGCCACCACAGTCCTCTCCCTTGCTCTGGTCCAGAGGCTTATCGCACCTCACATCTGCTCTCCACCATACCCACCCCACTTCCTGGGTTCCCCTCTGTCACCGTGCGTCAACTCCTCCACACCCCCTCCTGCAGCCAGTGTCCCCAACACCTTTGCCTCTGCTGTGCTGCATTCTGCATCTCCCTTGTCCTCAGGCTCACTCCTGAAGCCTGCCTGGGCCCTCTGCTGTGGCTGTCCACGGCCCCAGGCCCCAAGTGCTGGGTGGGGCTACCTGGTGGGGGAGGCGGCCCTGGAGCTCTGGGTCTTTGCAGACGTCATGGTGACGGAGTTCGTGGAGCATGGGCCCCTGGACGTGTGGCTGCGGCGGGAGCGGGGCTGTGTGCCCCTGGCCTGGAAGCTGGTGGTGGCCCAGCAGCTGGCCAGTGCCCTCAGCTACCTGGTACGTGAGTCAGGATGGCCCGGGTGTTGGGGGGTTGATGGCTACTGGACACCCTCAGCCCCCAAACTCACCCAGGGATGGCGCAGACCCTGGGAACATACCAGGGACCAAAACTGTCAAATCCCTGTGCTCAGGGAATGGATTTCAATTGGGAGAGACAAGGAACTGTACATGGTGCCACAGGGGTTTGGTCCAGGACCCAGAGGCCACCAAATTCAAGGGTGCACAGGTCCCTTCTGTAAACTGGTGTCTAGTTTGCCTAGAACCTTGGCACATCCTCCTATAGGCTTTAAGTCATCTCTGGTGGCACATGCCTGTAATCCTGGCACTCAGGAGGCTGAGGCAGGAGGATCACTGCAAAGTTCCAGGCCAGCCTGGGCTACATAGTGAGTTCAAGGGCAGCCTGCACAGTGAGACCTTGTCTCAAAAAAACAAAAAGACCCCCCAAAAAAGAGGTGAAATTTTAATATGTGGATCAGGGGAGCCTCACTAAAGCTTCCTGAAGGAGGGGAGGGCAGGCACCAGGAGACATTTGGGGAAAACATTTCAGGTAGAAGGAGCCGCAAGTGCTAAGGCCCTGGGGCAGCAGTGGCCCTGATGTGCATTTGAGAGCAGCAGTGGGCTCCTCTGGCCTTTTGTGCCTGGCCAAGGGCCTTGGCCACCAGCAAGGCTCTGGGAGAACAAGAAAGGCCCACCCAGCCCCTGTGCTACCTGGTCACAACGACAGTGCACTGGCATCTCAATAATGACCGGGATTGGGGCCTCGGGGGTGGGGGTTGGAGGTGGAGTCTATGCTCCTCCTCACCAGCCCCTCCCATCCTACCCCAGGAGGACAAGAACCTGGTGCACGGGAATGTGTGTGGCCGGAACATCCTCCTGGCCCGGCTGGGGCTGGCAGATGGCACCAGCCCATTCATCAAGCTCAGCGACCCAGGCGTGGGGCTGGCCGCCCTCTCCAGGGAGGGTGAGTAGCTCTCCGATCAGGGCTAGGCAAAGGGCTGAGCTTCCCTCCTCCATTCCCCCTTGGTGATTGTGACCTGGCCCCCAGAGCGGGTGGAACGCATCCCCTGGACTGCGCCCGAGTCCCTGCTTGCTGGGGCCAGCAGCCTGAGCACAACCACAGACAAGTGGGGCTTCGGTGCCACCCTGCTGGAGATCTGCTTCAACGGCGAGGTGCCCCTGCAGGGCCACACCCCCTCCGAGGTACGGCCAGGTCCAGGGTCCCTGGGCCTCCATCATTTGGGGATCATCTAACCCTAATCTCTTCAGGAAGCCCAACAATGACAAGGACAGAGAAGGGGAGGGGTGTCTGTGGCCCAGTGAATGGCTGGACAAGGCTGCTCAGAGGAGTGTTTTTTATTGTGTTTTTGAGATGGTCTCACTGTGTCGTTCAGGCTGGCCTTGTACTCACTATGTAGCTTCAGCTGGCCTTGAGCTCTCGGCGATCCTCCTGTGTCAGCCTCCCGAGTGAGTGCTGGGATTATAGTTGTGCATCCAGTCCCCAGAAGAGGTTTTATTGAAGTGCAGAATTAGATGGGTGAGCCAGGCTAGGAAGGGTAGATAGGCAGTGAGCACAGCCTGTGCAAAGGCACTGAGGTGTTTGTGCTATTAGGAAAGATGACCTTGAGGTGCTGCTGCTGCACAGAGTGAGCTGGACTCCTGGCTGAGTCCTGGCTCTGAGCCTGTTTCTTCCTCTGGGAAATGGGAATAAGAGTGCAGGCACCTCACCAGGCCATCCCGCTGCTGTAAGGGGAGCAGGGTGAGGTGCTGATTCCAGCTGCTCCCTGCCCCCTAGAAAGAGCGCTTCTACCAGAAGCAGCATCAGCTGCCCAAGCCTTTGTGCCCAGAGCTGGCCTCAATCACCAGCCAGTGCCTGAGCTACGAGCAGGCCCAGCGGCCATCCTTCCGCACCATCCTGCGCGACCTCACTCGGCTGCAGCCCCACAGTGAGCCCCACCTGTTGCCGGGAGCCTGGGGAGGTGGGGAGAGGGTCCCTGGCACAGCAGGCGCTTGGGCTCCTTGTCCCCAAGGTTCCTGCAATGGGGCTCAGGGCGTATGCTGGTTTCTCACTGGCTTACGGGAGAGGAATCTGGGGCAAGGCACAACCTTTTGGGCCAAACTGTCCTGGTGCTTCCTGTCCTCTCTGGATGTGATGCTGGCACTCGGCCCAGTCTCAGACTGCCCAGCCAGCCATCCCCATCCCCTACCCTGCTGGGGACAAGGCCCAGGGTCTCCTATGTGTTGGGCCAAGGCTCTGGAACAGCCGCAGCCGAAGTCCTGAGAGTCAGTATTGATGCTGCAGGCTGTGTGTTTTGGACACGAAGTGAAATTTTCCAGCTGTTTCTTAGCTGGCTGGGGAGTAGTCTCCATTTTGTGATTCCCCAAGTGCGGGTCTGCTGGCTCCTCCAGGTCTAGTAGATGTCTCAGCTCTGAACCCCGACTCACCTGCGTCAGACCCCACCGTTTTTCATAAGCGCTATTTGAGAAAGATCCGAGATTTGGGAGAGGTGAGGACAGAGCCTGTGGGGCTGGTGGGGCCTGGAGATCTGGAGATGGGGTTGGAGAGCCTGAGAGAGGCCTGCAGAACTGGGAGGAGGGGCAGCTGGAAAGGGGAGGAGCTTGAGGATTAAGGAAAGTACTGCCTGAGGTAGTTCCGGGAGACACAGGTGGGAGGACTTCAGCTGTGGGGGGAGTCCCTGGAAAATTGTAAGGGGTCGGAGGTCTCCACCTTTGAGCACGGAGTAGGTGGGGCTTAAATCTTCCCAAACCGATCCGCCTGGTGCGTGGCCTGGGAACACAGGGGTGGGGTTGACCCTCACGCACTCTTGGGCCAGGGTCACTTTGGCAAGGTCAGCCTGTACTGCTACGACCCAAACAACGATGGCACTGGCGAGATGGTGGCAGTGAAATCCCTCAAGGCGGGCGGCGGGCCCCAGCTCAGCTCGGGCTGGAGGCGGGAGATCGACATCCTTCGCACTCTGTACCACGAGCACATTGTCAAGTACAAGGGCTGCTGTGAGGACCAAGGTGGGTGGCTCAGGGTGGGGCTAGGCAGTGGAGCAAGATGACTTTGTAACCAAACACTGTTTGGCCATGGGCCACAGTGATTGGTCAGGTGTGGTGTGACTTGTGGGGGGAGCCATCAGGATAGCCAATTAGAATCATTCAAACTGCGCGCGCCCCATTTGAGAGTGTGTGGCCAGGGAGCCTTCTTCTTAGCTTTGAAGGGCCTGTGCTGTCTGCTTGCGCCAAGGTGGACTTCGAGGCACTTCTCTCCTACAGGGACAGGGATCAGGATGAGACATCTCAGCTAGGGACTGGGCCTACTGTGCGCAGATTTTCCCTTCTCTACCAGACAAAGAGCCCCGAAGGGCTGGGGTGGGTCCCCTTAGGCTTCTCCCTCTGTCCCCTTGGGCCCTTTCCACGACAGGAGAGAAGTCGGTGCAGCTCGTCATGGAGTACGTGCCGCTGGGCAGCCTCCGGGACTACCTGCCCCGGCACAGCGTCGGCCTTGCCCAGCTGCTGCTGTTCGCCCAGCAGATCTGCGAGGTGGGCTGGCCCCGCCCCTGCTCCCCGCACTGTACCTGCCATCCAGGTGCTCCTGCTTCCTTTGCCCAGTCTGCCAGTTCTCGGTTCTCGGACCCATTGCTCTCCGCTCTCTGCCTTGGGTTCACCTGGCTCCACCCCAGGCCCCGCCCCAACTCACAGCCACACCCAGCCCTTCCCGATTCTCCCGCTCTACCCCCAGCACCCTTCTGTGGGACCCACTTCTGCTATTTTGTTCCTTCCTCTGTTGCTTGTGGCCACCAGCCGTCCTGCTTTTCTTTTTCTTTTTTTTTTTGTTTGTACTGGGGATCGAACTCAGGACCTTGAGCTTCGAGGCAGGCGGCGGAACCTCTGAGCTAAATCCCCAGCCAGCCGTCCTGCTTTTTCAGGTGGCCGGGTCTGCAGGTTTCACCTGACTGTCTCCCAGACACCTGGTCACCCCACCACTGCCCCCCCTCCCCGCCCCGCCCTCAGGGCATGGCCTACCTGCATGGGCAGCACTACATCCACAGAGACCTGGCGGCGCGCAACGTGCTGCTGGACAACGACAGGCTGGTGAAGATCGGGGATTTTGGCCTTGCCAAGGCCGTGCCTGAAGGCCACGAGTACTACCGCGTGCGCGAGGACGGGGACAGTCCCGTGTTCTGGTGACCGGACAGAGCGCGGTCTGAGGGGTGGGGATGTTCCAGTGTCACTTGGAAAAGGCAAGGTGAAGAAGAGGGTTGCTGAGTGTCAGGGTATATGCTTACTCCGGCCCAGAGATGTGAGCTGGGATCAGTCTGAGGGTGGGGCCTAGAGGCACGAGGCGAGGCGGGACCAGCTCAGCTGGGACAAGATCTTCACCCCTAGGCAGTGTCCTTAAGGCTGGGATCACGGATGGGACTAGAGGGGCCCTTCAGTCCCAGGTGAGGGTCCAGCCTGGCCTAACCCCCTAACCCCGAATCCAGCCTCCAGACCTGAGCGCCCCCTTTCCCCAGGTACGCCCCCGAGTGCCTCCAGGAGTGTAAGTTTTACTACGCGTCGGACGTCTGGTCCTTCGGGGTCACACTCTATGAGCTGCTGACGCACTGTGACTCCAGCCAGAGCCCCCCCTCGGTGAGAACCACGCCCACACTCCTACCCCAGAGTTCGCTAGGGGAGTTAGAAAGTCACGCGTTCAAAACCCAGCCCTCCACCCTCCCGATCGCTTCACCCACCAGGGTCTCCCAGTCCAGATGTGGAAAATGGGACACTTGCAGGGTAGGGGACTTTTCTGGGGGAAGGGGCAAAGAGGTACTGGAGATTGAAACCCAAGGTCTGAACACTAAGCTACATCTCCAGTATTTTGTTTGTTTTTTGGTACTGGGGCTCGAACTCCGGGCCTTGCGCTTTCGAGGCAGGCGGCAGAACCACTGAGCTAAATGCTCGGCCCCTAATTTTTTGTTTTTGAGACAGTTCTCACTAAGTAAATTGCCCAGACAGGCTCAGCCTTGTAGTCCTTCTGCCTCGGCCTCCCAAAATACTGGAGTGACAAGCATGTGCCACCATTCCAGCTTGCAATAGGGCCTTAACTGTAATAGAAACGCTGTTGAAATGGCGAGGGGACTAAGAAGGGTCTTTTATCCCCTCTATAAACCTCTGATTGGCCAAGCTTGGCTCATTTATCCACCTTAGAGCCAATCACTGTTTAGCCATGGGCCTCAGTGATTGGCCAGGCTGGGTTGGGGGAGGAGCTAGGCAAGTTGCCTTTAAAGAAAAACATTCTGAGCCTTCCATGAAGGAATGGGCCTATACTCCAGCTACTCCCAATGCTGAGGCAAGACTGCTTGAGTCTAGGTGTTCAAGATCTATCAGCAACATAGTGAAACCTCATTTCAAAAAATTAATTGCGGGGGATTTAGCTCAGTGGTTCCAGCGCCTGCTTTGCAAGCGGAAAGCCCTGAGTTCAATCCCCGGTACCAAAAAAAAAAAAAAAAAATTAATGACAAACTGGGCATAGTGGTGGATGCCTATAATTGCAGCACTCGGGAGGCTGAGGCAGGAGGATTCCTGCAAGTTTGAGGTTGGCCTGTGGTACATAGTTCAAGGCCAGCCTGGATTACACAGCAAGACCTTGTCTCAAAACAATTCATTTTGGGCCAGGGGATTTAGCTCAGTGGTTCCGCTGCCTGCCTCGCAAGCACAAGGTCCCAAGTTCCATCCCCAGTGCCAAAAAAATTCTTTAGTTTGCAGACAGGTAAAACCAACTTCCTGAGTCACTTATTATCAACAGCAAGCACGTGATTGAGGCTTACTCTAGAAATATTAATTTTTGTAACTGCAGTAACCCCAGGTGGTAGATGTTAGTGTTAGCATCCCATTTCAGGAATGAGATAACTGAGGCCCAGAGAGGCTTGGTCAGAAATCCACAGTCACCACTGAGAAGTGTTGAGGGGGGATTAGGACATCTAACCTTGGAGTTCTAAGCTCTTGGCCTCCGACTGGTTTTTGCTGCCTCTGGAAAAAAGCTCATCTGGATTGTACCGTAGAAATTCATGGAGCTCATAGGCATCACCCAGGGCCAGATGACTGTGCTGAGGCTCACAGAGTTGCTGGCGCGAGGGGAGAGGCTGCCGTGGCCAGACAGATGTCCCCGGGAGGTGAGGTGCCCCACCCTTCTCCACCCCTGGGATCGTCTTTGAGTTCCCAGAAAGCGGCAGTCATGGCCTGCTTCTGCTCCTCCAGATCTACCTCCTCATGAAGAACTGCTGGGAGGCCGAGGCCTCGTTCCGTCCCACCTTCCAGAACCTTGTCCCCATCCTCAAGTCGGAGCAAGAGAAATACCAAGGCCAGGCCCCCTCGTTGTTCAGTGTGTGCTGAGCCCAAGGGCGCCATGCTTGGGGCGGCTTATGGGGGTCCCTGCAGAAAGCCTCTTGTACCCACCCATGAGGACCCCAGAGCAAGAGGCTGGCCTGGCTCGGCCCTGCTCTGCACACCCTGCCGCTGTTCAGGGGCTGTACTTCCACGACTGAGAGACCCAGGACAGGGCCTGATCAGCCCTTCTGGCGACCAACATATGAGACCCGTGATCTCCATTGGCTACGTATAAACTGCTCTTCCACTGCTGGCGGCTGTCTTCCTTGTGGCCAGCAGCTCAGGTCCACTCTGCAGACACCAGCTGCACCAAGGAGGAGGTCACTATTAAACTTCTTGCTCAGTTTGTTGGTGCATGTCTGGAATCCCAGCACTCTGAGAGTCTGAGGCAGGAGGGTTTCAAATTTGAGACCAGACTGGGCAATTTAGCAAGACCCTCTTTCAAGATTTAAAAAAAAAACTCTGGGAATGCTGGAGCACACCTGTAATCCCCGCACTCAGGAGGCTGAGGCAGGATGATAGCTATGAATTCGGACCAGCCTGGAATACACAGCAAAAACCTGTCTCAAATATAAAAAGATAGGGCTGGGGATTTAGCTCAGTGGTGCCACTGCCTGCCTCACAAGTGCCAAGTTCCAGAATTCAATCCCTGGTAGCAAAAAAAAAAAAAAAGATAAATTATTTTTAAAGGTCTGAAGATGTACCTCGGTGTGAAGGCCCTGGATTCCATCCCCAGCACCAAAATACAAAAGGAGAAACTAGCACCTCCTCCTGTGCCAGTGCCTGGTACACAGATGGTGTCCGTTATTACCTGTTAAATGTACAAAGCCTTCAGAGGGCTGCATGCCTCATAGATTTGACTGCCATGTTCACTTTTCCTTGCTGTGTGACCTCAGACCAGTGTCTTCACTTCTCTGGGCCTCACTCAGCTCTGGGATGGTCCAGCTTGCTCTCCCATAGGACTGATGTACAGTGTCTGTGAGGTGGTATGTGTAAATTGCTTAGCAGAGAGACCTGCACTGGTGCTTAATAAACACTGGATGTTATTGTTATTCAGTTTGGGGTTTTCTTTTGTCTTGGTATTTGGTTTTTTTGAAACAGAGTCTCACTACATAGTCAACAGTAGCCTTAAACTCATGATGTAGCCCAGGCTATTCACAGCGATTCTCCTGCCTCAGCCTCCTGAGTGCTGAGATGATGGAAATACATGGTGGAGTTTCTGACCCTATATGGCCCTTGGAGGAGCCGTCAGGGCACCCAAATCTGGTGGAGGGGGGCTGGGGTCCAGCCAAGGGCTGCTGAAGACCAGGCAATGCACAGAGGCTCTGGTAAACCGAGTGACCTGCTCAGTTGTTGGGACCTGGATATCCTGGTCCCAGGTTAAAGTTTAATTCAGAGGGTGGATCTAGTCCAGAAAGTACGCTCTGAAGTGGGCCTGTGCCTATTGCTCCTGCTGTTTCTCAGCTCCCTCTTCTTGCAAGAGTTTCATATTGGCATCTTTAACCTTACCAAATGAATGGGTTTTTTTCATTTATTTCTGCAGCTTGAGAGCTCATTTCTAGTAGTTATTTTTTCCTCTCTCTCTCTCTCCTCTCCTTTCTCCTTCTGGTTTCTGGGACTAGGATGGAACCCAGGCCCTCACATACGCTAGGCAAGGGCTCTACTACTAAAATGTACCCAGCCCTTCTTAAATTTTATTTTCAGACAGCTTCTCTAAATTGCCCAGGCTGGGCTCAAACTTGCAATGCTTCTGCCTCAGCCTCCTGAGTAGCTGGGATGACAGGTGGGCGCCACCACTCTAGGCTTAATTTCTTTTTAGTACTGAGTAATACTGCGCCGCCTGGATATACCACAGCTTATCCCCCACCTGAAGGACACCCTGGTTACTTCTAAATTTTGGCAAGTATGGGTAAAGCCGCAATCAATACCCACATGCAGGTTTTTGTGTGGATATACACCAGTTACTTTTTTTTTTTTTACAATGATCTTTTTTCTTGTACA